GGGTCTTCTTCCCTCACCTCAGGAAAGCTATGTCTCCATGTTTGCTCTTGTTTATATAAATTAATCTTCTGTATTCTGACAGTTTTTTTTCCTTCATTAATGAGAGTTCCTAATTGGGCATAATGAAATGTTTACTCATGCTACTAGATAATATTATATGAAAGCACAACAGAGATAAGAGACTATGAAGAAAATAAGCATTTAAAAGATTTTGGATGAGATATGAAAGCCATTTTTTGGCCAACATTTCCCTGTTTTATTTGAGAATGACTTCTGGTGCAGCTGTGTAACTAAGACTGCGTCAAACGACATCCATTATTTATTGGCCTGGTTAGCAAACAAGGACACCTTTGACTACAGCAAATTGTGAGGTCAATTTACTGTGCTTTACACCAACTGAAGACTCGCTTTTTTGTATTTATGTTCTCTAAAATTTTCCATTTGGCATGAGCTGCTCTAGGGAAAGCAATAGGAACTTGGGGGAAGGGAGCAGAAGAGAGCTTGAATTTGTAGAAAGCTGGCACAAGTGTAATTGTGCCTTTTATTTGCTATCCAGGTGCGTCAGATCAAGTTACAGACCAGTCTCCCCATAAAGGCAATTTTTCCTCAACCAACTAGAAACTGCAGAAAATATATGTCAAGGAGATAAATTTTGCAACTGTTATGCACTGAAATGAATCAATACCCTACGTTCCTACAGGGTAAAATTGAAAGAATTAAACGCTATTGAGCTGCCCAAAATACACTGAGATTTGCTACTTGTTTAAAACTGGTTTGCCAATTTAAAAGTAACCTGCTTCTGATATTCAAAGGGCATAAATAGAGCTCTTTTGCAAGGCAACCGTGAAGAAGGATGTTGGCATTAGAAGCACAAAAGAGATTCTTCTCATACTCTTACCAACAAGGCTCCAGCAGCCTGTGTGCCTTACGGGTTGGAGGGCTGCAAACTGCATCCCTGGAGGTCCAGGGACACAAGAGCAAGGCAGCTGGGATCAGGAATGTGTGGCGCTGAAAATTGGTACCCGCTTGTACTTGAGTTTCGGGTTTTTTAACTCCACACATCGATATCCGTTTCTGTACTTTTAAATTATTTTATTAAAATTAAATATGTAGCAGTTCTGACACTGCTGAAGAGCTGGCTGATTCGGTTGCGCATAATTGCATTTCGTATTCTGTGCTTTGGGGGTATTTTTGTTTCTAAGTCACCATGTAAGAATCTTCCTTGTGGGAAACAAAGATCTCTTAAGTTAGCCTTTGTGCATCTTTACCTGTTAATTTTTTCTCAGATTGGCTATTTTCATGGAAAGTATAATTTTCTAGAAATTATGCTAATGCATTTTGTTTCCAGTACCTATGATAGTTTGTGATTACATTGACTTTCACTCTTCAGCTTGTCCAGAATAATGGTTATGGTATTAATGAAGGGGTTTGATGGCTCTGGCCCTTCCTTCTCTTGTTTAACGTATTGAAACCTGATGCAAAACACTTTAAAGCAGAGAGTGGGGTGGGATAATACGGGGAATTATTATCTATGAAGAAACGATGAAATTTGTCAGCTGGAATAGAAATTCTGTCACCTCTTGACACTGAGATAAAAAAAGGTTATTTTGGGAGCAATAATTGATTTGAAAAATCTTAGATGCAAATGGCAAAAGATAGAGTTTTTAAGCACTAACTTAAAATGAATTGTGTGAAACTAAAGGAACTCTAGGGAGAGACACTGTCTCCAACGTAAACTGGTAAAGCTAAGAATGCTAGAGGAAGGAGAAATTAAGCTGGATAGTATGTCGGATCATTCATGAATTGTAGTAGCAGCACTGTCTCCTCTTTTCCCTTTCTCCTGTCCTGGATAATGCCGCATTCTGCTGATCTGTCTTGGAAAATATTAAAGGGCTGTGCCTGTTGGAGGCAACAGCTCAGCAAGAGCGCATCATGTGGGTTGACTTGTCAGCAGAAAAACATCCAGTCATGTTGCACAGGTTTCACAGAATCACAGAATGGTGGGGGTTGGAAGGGACCTCTGAAGATCACCTGGTCCAACCCCCCTGCCAAGGCAGGATCACCCAGGGCAGGTTGCACAGGAACGTGTCCAGTTGGGTTTTGAAGGTCTCCAGAGAAGGAGACCCCACACCCCCCCTGGGCAGCCTGTTCCAGGGCTCCGTCACCCTCACAGTAGAGAAGTTTTTCCTCATATTGAGGTCCTGTGCTGCAGGACATTGATGCCCATTGCCCCTTGTCCTGTCACTGGGCACTACTGAAAAGAGACTGGCTCCATCCTCCTGTCAGGCACCCTGCAGATACTTACAGACATTGATAAGGTCCCCTCTCAGCCTCCTCTTCTCCAGACTGAACAGCCCCAGGTCCCTCAGCCTTTCGTCATACGAGAGATGTTCCAGTCCCTTAATCATCCTCATAGCCCTCCGTTGGACTCTCTCCAAAAGTTCCCTGTCTCTCTTGAACTGGGGAGCCCAGAACTGGACACAATACTCCAGATGAGGCCTCACCAGCGCAGAATACAGGGGGAGGAGAACCTCTCTCGACCTGCTGGTCACACTCTTCTTAATGCACCCCAGGATACCATTGACCCTCTTGGCCACCAGGGCACGTTGCTGTCCCATGGATAACTTATTTTCTACCAGGACTCCAAGGTCCTTCTCCATGGAGCTGCTTTCCAGCAGGTCAGCCCCTGACCTGTACTGGTGCATGGGGTTGTTCCTCCCCAGGTGCAGAACTCTACAGTTGTCCTTGTCAAATTTCATGAGGTTCCCCTCCGCCCAACTCTCCAGTCTGTCCAGATCTGTCCAGATGTTTATCTCTCAACAAATTTAAAAAAAACCAAACCACTAAAACTAAGTGTACATTTGAAATGTGCACCTCAAGTATGTGTTAGTGAGACGAGTCAAGTGGGCTATAACCAGCCCATCTTTAACGCTGCAGAACATCACTGTGCAAATATCACGTGCTTAATTGGAGAGAAACGTAACTGTGTTTTAGATATATTTTGGATTGTGCGGTGGTGTTAGGGATTTGACCAACACTTTTGTGTTTCTGTCTCGGTAAGGAATGAACTGTGGGGGACCAGTTTACATCATAGTTTGCTAATAACCTCTAATCTGGAGGCTGATTATTGTCTTTGCTCTTTTAGGTTATCTTGCTGCTGATTAGTGCTTCTATTTTGGTCATAGCATGTGTTGAAGGTTTGGATATCTCTAGAGTATGAAATATATATTCATCTGGTATAGTCTGGTCCCGCCCAGTCATTGCCTGAATAATGTTTTTCCCTTGCAAGAGATGTAAACTCACCCTCATGGAAGGACTGAGCAGTCTCATTGCTTCACTTTCTGCTTTCATTTGTCTTTCTTCCCTGACCTTGGGGTATCACAGGAGGGAGGGAATCTGTGTATCTGCAATAGAATAGCACTCAATAAGGCAGAGCCATGCTGTGTAGTTCAGGTGCTTCTTTGGATATTTTGTTATAAAAACACCACACTTTGTGAGTTTGTATCTTCATTTTCAATATAAATAAGGACATACAGCGTTTAAGCTAATTAGTTCCTTCAGAACAGAATTATGGTGATCAGTTGCTGTTTGTTTTCCGTGATTCTTTTTCTTAATCCTTCTTTAGATCCTGGGCTATAGCTAGAAGAAATCTGGACCACCCACAGAAAACAGTCTTGGAGGTGCACTGCAAGTAGAGGTATGCTGCAGCTTTCTCAGTATCTACTGAAATATATTCATAAAGCCGTGATTTAAAAAACAAATGTGAAGGAGGGTGGCTAAACTCACAATCCATATAGTTGCACTTTCTGTTGATTGGTTTGTTGGCAAAACCATCTTTCAAATAATCCCTGTCTATGTCAGTTGGAAAAAAACCAACAACAAAAACAGCAGGAGAAAGAAGGAAGTCCTCTGACTTCTCTGCCATGGTCTTCTCTGCTTCCTGCGCAGGCACGGCGTACATCTACACAGGCCTGTGCAGAGCGTGCAGAGAGATTTCTGAATGAATGCGCTTGGCAGCTCCAAGCAACGTCTCTGGTTTGGCGGGAGCTTCCACTCAAGCTCGTTTCTCCTGCTGGGAGTTTGCATGGGCAGAGTGCCATTTCATCTGATTCTACTTTTTCTTATCTGAACTAGGTCTCGAGTATCACTGCAATTTGCCATACACGCCTCTGTGTGTGTATTTATGTGTGTACATCTAAATATCAAACTGACCAAAGTGTTCATTGATTAGTTGTTCTTCTCTATAAAGCTTTACCAAAGTATCTAGAGGGCCCCAAATAATGTGCAAAGCATGCCTAAAACATGCACCTCCTCTCTCTGAAAGTTCCACTTTGCAGTTCTCCAGAACTCCCGTAACATCACCGGGCGTCTTCCTTAGCGCTCCCTTGGTATGCACTTTAAAAAGAAATAAATCTAATTGACACCCATGATCTTTAACGCTGTGCCGCTGATAAGTGCACTTACAATTCAGATGATGTAGCTTATCTGAAGTCAGTAGATATACATTGATCTATACCAGATAGGAATTGGTCTTGGGTTCTAGGCTGCTGGTGTTAAAAATATTTGTCTGCATTTTGCTTTCTTCAATGGTATTTAATCCTCTCTGTTTCAAGTAGGATACAAAGGAGCGCTATTTTGGTGTTGATTTTTAGGAACGCTTACAAGGAATCTGTAAGACTGACATTGATTAGAAGGATAAATAGATTAAAGAAATAATGTTAACTTTTTTACATTTGTGGAGATTTTAAGTACTTCGTACAGGATCTTGGCCAGCAGAAGGCAGTAACTGCTCAGCTTTGCATTGTTCATCCCTGCATGCTTGCCTGCATTAGCCATCTTCACAGTATAGATCTACGGACTGAATTTTCAAGGTTTCCAAAGTAGTTCATAGGAAACTTACTGTTCCCCATGCGCAGTTCTTTATGGTTCCCCCTAAATAATGTGTTCCCTTTCTTTCCTAGGCCTAAGAGTTTTGCTTTTCGTGTACAATAATAGTCAGCATGTTGTTATTCTGTCACATGCTGGCCGGAGCCTTTCTTCCGTTCCTCATCCTTTCAGGAAATTGGGTTTCAGCTGAGAACATCAACTTTTACAACGTGAGACCTCCACTAGACCGTAAGTAGACAGTTATGCTTTGCTTGCGTATGCAACTGTAGCTTAACATTTTACTTAATTGCCAAAGGCTTTCAATCCTTTGGGCTTTAGGTGTTTGTCTTCTTCAGACATGAAGAATAAAAAGTTTAAGATAATACTTTCGCTTTTCAACCCATAACAGTTGAGTTTATTTCTAAGATTTTATAAGTTGACTGAATGAAAACAAACAATTGCATGCATTGCTAAATTAAAGAGTGTGTGAGGGCAATAGTTTTCACTTTGTAAGTGCTTCTATTATATTTTCCTCGCCATGAAATGCCTTCCTGCAGAGCAAATTGTGTAGTGAATTTCTGATAAATAATACAGAACAGATGTTTTTGTCTTTTATCTTGTTGGGGGTTTTGTAAGGGAAAGAATAGGTGTGCTCTATGCAATTAATTCAAACTGAAGGTAATTAAAAACCTTGTGAGACCTGTGAAGCCAGTTGTCACTAATAGCATCATTTTTTTGCCTCTTATCTAGCATCGGAAGTGTTCTGTCCCTTCATTTAAGAGGAGAAGATTTTCCTGATATGTATCATTAAAACAGTCAAGACAGCTAGATATAATAGGAATGTATGTGCATCTAGGAACTGTGCATCTTAAAATCACTTATATATTTATATAATGTAAATAAGATTTTAAAATAGTTCTCTTGATCCCTTTGTCAAAGGGTTCAGACTTCTTCAGAGTTGGAGATCAAGATCTGAAGCTGTTTTTGGAGATGTATTTTTTTCATCAAAGGAATCAAAAGCCATTTGGATGTAGATTGTGTTTGTGTATCTGTACAAACGTACATGCGGATGTAGTATCATGTGCATATATATAAGATGTTCTCTCTTTCCTGTTTTTTCCACCACTACTTAAATGGTATTTTGAATCGTGAGAGAATGAAAACAGCAGGAGATGTTTTAAAGTTCAGGTATAGCAAAACCAGTTAAAAATGTAAAAGCTTTCTGCGAGACTTGTTTCATAGGTTTTATTTGTCTAACAGTGATGTATCATTGAAAATATGTAAATGTATGCAATATGTTTTTGCTAAGTATATGTGTATACAAGCACAGCATTATTTTGAATGTTTTATTTTTTTCTTAATACTTGCAAACTTACTACATTTTAATACTTTTAAAGCCACTCCATTTCCAAACAGTTTTAAGTGCTTTACCTGTGATAATGCAGTGGACAATTACAACTGTAACAGATGGGCTGAAGATAGATGGTGTCCTGAAAGTAAGTGCGTCTGTACTAAGGAGATTCTTTACGATAGTTAAATTTGCTTCTCCCTGACTCAGCCATCTTGTAGAAGTCTAACTGAATAGGATTAACATGCCGACACAGTAATGCCCTCAGTTATGTTATTAGTAATACTGAGTCATATG